AGTTTCACGACAGTTTGGTCGTGTTGTTGCAACATCACACGCGTGGCTACGCGTGAAAAATCTTCACACGTGTACACAAGTGAACAATCTTCACGCGTGATTACGTGTGAAAAAATCTTGACCATGCTGACCATCATCTATAGTCAACTGATTATACATGGTCCTCATGGTCGAAGTATAATGCAGACCTCATCAATGCAACTTCATTTATAACTTTTTCCACCTGTGACCACTAGTTTTTAAAATATCACATTTTATATATATATCACCGCAAAGTAAGAGTCGAACCAAGGTACTTTGAATTAGAAATCTACGATACTACTATTGAGCTAACTTGCCTGAGAAACTACTGAATAAATCTCATATTCATACTTGTCGAATCAATCCTCACGAGTTACCACGTATAAAAAAGTTCCCACGCGTGATTACTCGTGAACTTCCTAAATCTTTTTCTTAGTTTCCAACTTTTCCAAACTTTTTTAGTTAATACTTCCTCCCCGAGAACAGGATGATTCCAAGGCATATTTCTACAGCAAATACCTTCGGTCTACAGCAAAAGTTTTCATCTGTATGTATGTACAACTTTCGGAAGATATAGGAGAAATTTGTATTTATGCTTGCTGTTCAATCTTCACGACATTTCGCACCTGTAAAAGGTTTTTCACGTGGACGCGCGTGAAACGTAAGAATTTTGTCGCTTGAGGTTAAGCGTGAATATTATTCACGAAATGGGTTGCGTGAAAAACTGACCTGCTAATAAATGTGAAGATATTTTTCACAATGAAATTAGTAGGAAACTTTTCATGCGGCTCCGCAAGTGATATTTGTTTACAGAAATTTTAACATGAGAAATTCACGTGTGGCCACTACACACTTCACGACTTTCATCTGTGATCACGTGCAAAAAATATGATGCGAAACGTTTTCGTGACCAGTTCACTCGTTGTCACAAGTGGAATATATTTTTCACGCGGGCTCACACACCATTTGACGATGTTCACGTGCGACCACAATTCATTTCACGATATTCACGCGTGTTCACACCGCGGTACCTACTAAAATTTCCCCATGGGGACTATATCTTTCAAGAACGTTTGGAACTTCAGTCGTAGTCGACGGTCCATTACATTTATTTATATTACACACAAAGTAATAACCATCACTAGCTGGATAGGATGTGAAACGATGAACAGTTAACTCAGTATAGTATGGGTTGAAGAACAAGGAACAATTTTTCTCATTAGGATATATAGTGCTATCGGATTCACATTGTTTACCGGGACATTCGATCAGATCATTATGCGCATCATAGCATTGCAAATTAGATGAAGTCGTAGATGAATTGTAAAGTATTGACGATAATTCATCAAATAATGGATAATAATTTAAGTTATTTAAATGTTCAATTGCTATTTTTATATAGTCTTGATGGCAATTATCACGCGTAAAACAGATATAATAAATTTGTCTCACAATAGACTGTTCATTAAACAACATTATCACACTTTGAAGTATCATAAAATTGATATTATTCATGGTATTATTAATCAGTTGTTCACTAGCATTTTCCGATAAAAATTCCACAAAAATTCGTTTTGCATCATAATTAATTACTATGAGAGTCGAGCACGCTATTGTTTGAGCACGATTTGTACATGATGATGGTAATTGAAAATGCTAATTTAGAGAAAATGTGATAGAACAATTTTCAATACACGACTTAATAAGAAGGTTTCTATCAGCATTTGCAGTACAAATTATTAGCATAGCTAGTAGTAATAAACTCATTTTTTTACTAGCAAATTTCAATACTGTTTTAACGTATGATAAGTTAAGTATCTAGTATCATAAAACAAAAAATGTAATAAAAACTGTCAAGATAAGTTTATTATCCAAAACGATTCGTCAATGATTCCACATTTAAAATTCTGTTATATCAAATTTGTTGAACTATAAACGAGAATATTCTATATTACTAATTTATTTGAAATCAAACAATGTTTGACTTGCGTATACAACTTGACAAAGATCGTTTCGTTGACTAAAATTTTGATCAATTTCAAATTGAATATTTTGCATATGTAAACATCGATTAATAAATGTTGAAAACATATAGACGGTCTGATATTCTCCAAGACGATCATAAAGATAATTCCACAGTAATTCTGTGTAAATATTTTGAATTTGGAAAATGTGGATGGAGTTGGAATATGCGTTAATCATACTTAAATTTGTTTGTGTAAATGTTGTTAATAAACTTGTTGAAAATACTAAAACGATTAAAAGTAATTTGGCAATAATTGAATCATGTAACAAGATGTCGCTTGACTTGAGAAATGTATCCATTTTATTAAGAAGAGCTGTTCCATAAACATAATCGTAGACAAGATATTCACTTTTATCCCATGGATGAACAATATTATTAACTGTTGACTTTGCTAGAAGATGAATTGAAAGTAAATGAACTAAATTACGTCGATTCAACAAACTTTTATCATTAATATTTAGTTGATGAAATTCTGGAATATGTTCAAAATAGTCTATCAATAAGGAGAATGTGTTACAACGTTCATCAATATACTTTTGCAATTTTACTCGAGATTTATGAGGTACAACTGTATTATTGAGACATTTTGCATTTTTAATAGTTTTATCATAAGATGAGAGAATATTTGTCAATAATGACCTATCCATCTCGGTCAACATTGATCGTTGGTTATCATTTTGAACAATAGTCAACGCAGGAATCTATAAGGATAAGAGGAATTCATAAGCAAAAGCAATGATTTCAAATTTATTTTAGATACATGTTCTGTATTTTGTTGCTCGTATTGATATCTAAGTTTTAATTTTCTATTTTCCATAATTTGTTGTATTTTCGTTTGTTTGTGTTCTTGCGTCTGAATTAGTTCTTTTTTCATACCTTGCAAAAAACATTTTTTCAATCGACATGGTCCACATTGACGGCGACTGACACTATCGATAGTACAATTATTCATAAAACAACATTTTAAATTCTTCTATGTATAATTAGAAATATTAAATGAACAAACAGACTGAAAAACTTGCAGTATAACCAATGTACGTACCTCCTTAAGAGCATTTCTTCGAAAGAATGCCTTGCATGACATACATGTGAGTACATCAAAATTAAATCCCGTAGCCGTTCTACCACAGATGACACAAACAAGATTATCCTGCTGAATTTTTGATATTTTTGGATAAGACTTGGCAATGGCGGAAGATAAAGATGCAGAATCAGATATTTTATGAAAATTCATGTCATTACCATTCGGCTACGAGACAAAAGTAATAAATAAAATGGAGCATTTATTATACAAGGCATGTCTTACTTGTTCGGGTTGAGCTCCACTTGATGTGAACATTGTCTTGTTTATGTGTTTAGTTAACGACAATCTATGTTTCTGATCATTCGTCACTTCGTTTCAAATTAGGATGAAACATCATTTTGTTAAACAAAATAATCAGTTGATTAGATCTGAAGTAAAAATGTATCTAAACAATAGTTTAACGACCATAAATTGAAACAGATCCTCAAACAGATATCAAGCTTTCTCATGTACTTTATTCCATAAATAGCCTAAAGGTAAAAATGTTGTCAGCTTGTCACTTTTCACACACACAAATCGGATAAATTACGCTTGAGAACTGACATCAAAGATAGACTGTCAAAAATTATATATAATCTTTATTTCTTTTTCTAAATTCACAATGAGACTATTAACCGTTATAGGAGGCGTGATATTTATTGTTCAGGAAACTCACTTTGAACCGACCGTATAAAGTTGATTATGATTATTCGTTCGTTTACATTGTAATAATATTCTGATCTATTTTTCTCGTCATGCACCATAGCAACAGGAAAGTAACGACAAATAAAGTACCGAGAAGAAGAATAAACCAAAAGAACGAGCAAGGTGAAGGTAGATGCCCTATTTTACGTTGATGAGTTAGATTTAATATTTGGATTACGAACAAAGTGTAAGCAAAAAAAATGTCAAGTGGTCCAATAAACGACTTAAACCCAGTGTACTTAAAGTATACTGCTATACATGAAAGTTTACCTGGCTCATTTTCTAAAGTGTAAGGTGTTATATCAGAGTCCGCAAACGAAGTTCAAGGTGGCGATTCAAGCAAACTTCGTCTTACTCTAACAGCGAAACTAGCAACAAATGCAACATTTCTCACTTGTTTTTGAAAGCCCACTTTCAATTGTTCTTTCTTAGAGGCGCCAACTATTCCCAAGCCCATTTTCTTATCGCCTGTCGCACTGCGAGTCTCTTTAACAATTCGCGGCGAGATCGCGTAATGCGTTCGCTGTAAGACTTGCGAGATAAGACCCAGTTTTTAGCGATCGCGATTTATTCATGTTTTTCGTCGACTAACAATAAATGAGTCACACTACCCTTACTGCGAACAAAGATGAATCGCGATTCGCCAACTCGTGACGCGGCTACACGATACTTATATTAGTCCCAATGCGATCTCTTTTTTTGGCTACCACCCTTATCCATTTCTGACGGTGACTAATTACTAAAATATGAGAAGGTTTTGAAAATTTTTCGAAAATAAGTGTGAGTTATATACTATACGTCTAAGCAAAACAAAACGGTGAATAGAATTTGTATCGACATTGCACCATGACTCTGTATCATGTCGCGATTGTAAGAGGAGAACGCGATCACAATGTGCATTGGGTGAATGTAATGGGATCGCGGAGTAAAAGCCATGTTCGAGCAGCGAATGAAGCAACCCAGGCAGACATTTTTTAGACCAAACGCACTGCTAAACGCGTTTTTTTTGCACTGAAGTGATGCGCTTCGCTCAATTGTCGAGGTCACTCAAGTGTCGGTCGCTCGAACGTGCGTTAATCCTTATTTATATATTCTTTTAGACTAATCATCAGTACTATTTAGGAATCTTGCACATGATCATCATATTGGATATCGTT